TGAGGGGCTCGCCCTAACCTGGCCCTGCCTGCCCCGCAGCGGTGCGTGTCCCTGCACCGCCAGCCCGCCCTGGAGCGGGGCCGCCGCCCTCCTCCTGCACCGGGAGCCCACAGAGCCTCAGGGCAGCGACCTGTGGTGCAAGTGCGCGCACACACCGCGATGGAGAAGAACGTGACAGCTGGTGCAGCGCCGAGCTCTTAATGCGCTTGTTAAGCGCCGGGGGTTAAAGCGCAGATGTAGGAACCAGCGATGCCCGAGTCCAGGGAAGAGCCGTGGATGGTTCTGCGGACCAAGAGCTGAAAGGGGGGCTGTACGTTTGAGGTGTAGGAGGCAGACTCAGGAAGAGGTGGATGGTGCCTTTCGCTGGGCATGGTAACGGCTTTTTAAATTTCCTTCTTGTTGCATTAAGTCACTAGGCCATGAAAAAAAGGAGTTAAGATATTTTTACAGTTTTACATAAACAAGACTGGTCATTGGAGTGTCAAAGCTTATTAAAATACCTCTGTGTGGAAAAGTGTTACTCTAATTTTTGGATAAAGAAACTGTCCTGTAATTTTTTAAAACAAGGTGCTTAAAAATAACATAAAGGAAGCTGCTGTCATGCAGACGAACCTGGTTTTAATAACTTCTCTAACTTGTGTAAGCTTCAAAGAATGTGCCTACCTGCACACAGCTCCAAGCTGCCAAACAGTGTTGGAACTATAAGCTGTGCAGAATCCCTGTCATTTCACAGTAAGCTATGGAAATGGGAGTAAACATTTATGCACAAGATAGCTATGACTTGATTTTAGAATGCATATGGAAATGGGAGGCACAGAAGGTTCTGTTGTGGGTTTGTCTGCTTTCAGATAAAGGCTTTTTTAGAGCTGCACAGTAATCAAGGAAAAATTGGACTTTACAAAATAGTTACATTTTTTCTTTCGGTAAGTCCTTTTGATCATATTTCCTGGTATAAGTATATTGATTACGGCAACAGACTTAGGAATTTCACATGCTCTAAATAGAGCCCTAAGGATATAAACTATTATGCAGTAAGATTGTTCCATGTAACTCTGCATTAACATTTGTATATTGGTCTCTCTATTGAGTATTACTTACCGTTCATTAGACTTAATTAGGATAAAGCAATATTAAGAACCTTGTTCCCCTTTCTTCTAACCATCAGAAAACTTTACAAACCTCTCTTCTAGGATGGTTTTGATTTGGATTCAAATACCAAGAGAGAACAGACCCTTTCTCTAGACGGAGACTGCGACAAGTGGATAGACCTTTCCAAAATGTGCAATTCAAATCAAGAATATTACCTGAAACTAGAAGAGTTGAAGAATGCCCACTTGGAGACCATGGCAAAATTAGAAAGTATGTATCAGAATAAACTGTATTTAAAAGGAGTACAACCCTTGGACAAGAAAAACACTGCTTCTTATGTGTGTTGTAGGTGAGTTTGGTGGTACCTTTTATCTGGAGATTCTCAAATGCTTTGCAGATACCTGTAAAACAGCAGGGTTTGTTTTTTTTTCTGGGGCTGGAAAGTATTACTCTCCCCATTTCCCACAGGCAGATAATCACAGAAAAGTTAGTTTTAATAATAAAAATGTTTATTCACCTTGCTAACAGACTGCGAGATTTCCAAGTGTGTGTGCAGCAGAGATGGGGCAACGTGTTTAGTAAAGCACAGTGCCTTTCCTTAAGAAGTGCTGACTTGATCATGATCGACACTGACTTAAAATTATGGTCTGGTGCAAGTGCCCAATGTGCTTCTCTCTTCACTTCTCTTCCCCTCTCCTCTTCCCCACTAGCACTGTTTGGTTTTGTTTCTCATGATGATATCTTAAAGTGGAAGTTACTGGCTTTGCATCAATGTGGGACTGGACTCAAACCAACTTTTTTTTCCTTTTTTAAAGGCCAACCTGGCAGAAGAGCTCGTATCGGCCTCTAAATTTGCACAAATCCTTTTCCGATTCTGACTTAAGTGATCCCTTCGGCTCAAGTGTATCTGATGGGTCTGACAGAGAATTAGCGCTTGAAGAAAATGGTAGTGAAACTGGATCATCTGCATTTGCTAAGCAACGGATTGAAAAAATGTGGGATGGGTTCTCTGTGGAAGACTACATCTCCCACACCAAACACAGCTTACCAAGCTCACCAGCCTTCAGAATGATACAGAGGAAACAGAAAGCATGGTCACCAAAAGTTACTGTGCCCAAGCCTTTCCAGATGACTATCAGAGAAGCCAGAAAAAAAGAACAGAATGTCAAATCAAAGTCACAGATTGAAATGGAAAATAACTTAATGAAGAAGCAACTAGAGGAAGAAGCAGAGTGTCAGAAAAAATTCCGAGCCAATCCAGTGCCTGCTGCTGTTTTCCTTCCACTCTACCATGAAATTGTGCAACGAAACGAAGAGCGCAGGAGATCTGTGAAAGAGAGAAGCAAGCTCAAGCTCTTGGCTTCTCAGAAGCCATTTAAATTCATTGAACGAGAGAAGCAAAGGAGTGAAATTAGGAAAATGCAATTAAGAGACCTTTCTGCACCTGAGAAGAAAACAAAACTGTTCAAAGCCAAACCAGTTCCTAGATGTGTTTATAGTCCAGCTGTCAATGACAAGCTAAAGGAGGAAGAGCTCTACAGAGAAATCAGGATCAGAATGAGAGCCGAAGAGTTGCTACGTAATTCATCTCTACCCAACAGCAGACTGGCTTTAACAAATACCAATAAAAAGAAGAAACACAAGTGCACCGAACCAAAGGAAACAGACCATAAACCCAAGATCAAATCAAGTGTTCCAGATTTTGACCTACTACACCAGAAATTTCAGAAACGGCTCCTGCAACAAAAACAACTGAAACACCTTACAGTCTGTGAGCCTTTCCATCTCCGGACTCCATATATTCCCTCAAACAAGGGGAAGATTTTGAAGGACATTCAAGAGGATGAAGAAAAGTTGAAAGAAACACGCTGGCCATATGCCTCTCCAAGACGTAAACCTCAAATGAGACATTTAAGTGCAAATTTGCATCTCTCGGGATTTGGAGAATCTAAATCACCAAAAAGCACAGAATCCACAAGACGACGGCTACAAGCCATAAGGTGACTACTTCAGTGATGCTCTATCTTCTATAGATACTTTAAGAGCAGACTTCTTTTGTATTTCTACCTGTGTATTCAGTTCTTCCATGCAGTGAATATATGACTTAATACATTAATATAAGGGCTTAATTATAATATAAAACTTAAAATATGTAAATATAGGACTTAATTAGTATTTCTGATTGTTAAAGAAACAGTAGTGCATTTTTCTCAGAATGTCCAATAGGAACGGGACAAACGACTGCTGTTCCCCAGGATATGCCTGAATCCCTTAAAGTGGCCCATACCTTGTGTCCTCTTATGCCAACCCTGTTTTCACCCCGTTTTTCTCTTTTGAGTCTCCTTTGCCAAAGCTTCCTTTGAAGTCTTGCTCTTGATTTAGAATGAATTCAGCCTTAGTTTATTTTTCCACCAGGAATTCACTTGAGGAAAAGAGAAAGCTTGAAGAACAACAAAAAAGGAAGAGAACAAAGCAGAAACAAAGAACGAAAAAACTCCAGAAAATTGTAACAGCTCGGGCTGAGGCCAGTGACCCACATCAGAGCTTAGCTCAGATGTCTAAATCTAAATTAAAAACATTCAGGTATTTTGTTGCATTCCCCTGAATCCTGAACCTCTCATTCTACATTGTATGTTAAACATACAATGTAAAAAATAGCATAGTCTAATTTTACATAATTACTCATTTGATAAATTATACACTGTACAAGCAGCTAGTAAAGAATATGGCCAAATTTAGTATTTCAACTGGGAAATTGTTGCCTTTTTTAATGACTTTGATCTGTGTGTTCCACCATATATAGTATTATAGATTAGCTAACAGGAGACTCCTGTGTTTTCTCAATTGACACATCAACTAAAGAGGAAAAGTTTACAAAATATCAAAAGGAAAAGGAATAGTGTAGTGACAGAATATCCTTGCACTGCTGGACTGATGGACATTGGTACAACTTTGGTATTTATAAGCTGTCTCCTAAAGTAGGGAACATGTCACAATTCATTTCTTTGTCCCAGCAGGTTCCCACTTGAGGGAAAATTAGAGCAGGAATATTATTTTAACTCAGCACACGTATCAGCAGCTAACCAGGAAGCTGCTGGTGCTTAGGAGGAAGGGGATCCAAAGTTACCTTTAGCAGAGCTACAAATTCAAAGACTGTTTCTACATGACTGAGAAAAGTAGTACACGGAGAAAAACCTCAGGGCCTTCTCGGTGTGCTCTACGTAGCAGTCCAGATGGCTCTAGCTCTCTGATGCTGATCTAAGTCCAGAATTGCTGTTTGACCTTGGGTTTGTGTCTACTTTAACCATTTCTGCTTCCTGTTCTTTTGAATCCTATGGAAAAAAAAAAAAAGTCAGTCCTGTTTGAATGAGTCTTTAGCGAGGTTTATAATCTGTCTTGGCATGATGGCACCACAGCAGTATCATCCATTCAAGGCACTGTTACGTGGAGACGGTGAGACCTACTGCCTGCTCTGCCCCTGTTGCTTCATGCATAGGCAGGATTCTTGGGCAGCAACTGTGAATCCTAATTTCCAGTTACCAGGCAAATTGCCAGTAACTGCCAGCAGCAGGGCAAAACAATACAAGGGTGAATGATCATGAGATATGCCTGATTACAAGATTCATAGCTTGAACTAGCAACTTTTAAGTTACCACGCTAAACTTTAAGGCACTTAGAATATGGTCCAGGGTAGAGATCTTTCCGAAATGAGGGTGGAAGCTGGGGCTGTCTTTATGGCTGCGAGTTGAAAGGTAACAAATAAGGTTTCCTCATTCTTTTTTTTGCTTTACATGGGTCTCTTCTTTCATTATAGCTGAAATAAACTGTGGATTTATTCTTAATAGACTTTAAACTCTGGTCTGTTACAAACAAATTTGCTAAAACAGTGCAGCACCACCTGCGCAACAATACTGCACATTGTTCCACCAGCAAACTTTGTGATGGTTATTGACCACCAACATTGCTTCACTGTGACCAGAAAGAGAAAATGCAGCAGAAACTGGAGTATGTGCACTCTCACATGCTGAAAGCATGAAGTGCAGTGGCTCAGCCAGCATATGCTAGAAGCAGCATTGCAGCAAGCATTTTGCTAGGCCACGTGGGCAACTGACTATCCAGCATGCATCTATGCCCACCTATGCCCTCCCCCAAAGACAGCTGAAGCCAAAGCACACATAGGAAACAGCGGTGGTCTAGGAGAAGCAGGGCTTACACAGGGTGCTAGAGAGCAGAGATGCAGTGGTCAAGGTGCAGGTCAAAGAGAGCAGTCCCTTCTAACGATTTTGTTAAGAGTCAGAGCTCAAGTGCAATTGCTTTTGCACCATGAGCAGCAGATACCGTCAATAACAGGAGCTTTATAATGTAAGTGCCCTCGGGCAGATGATCTGCTGACTCTAGGACAGAAGCAGAAAACAATTTGAGTCACAGTTGCAGGGTGTAGAATTAAGAGAGACAGCGGGTGTGTTTATGGATTTGATTTGAGTTCATTCAACGATGAACTTCACATTACAGTACTTAATCAGATTTCAGGAGTATTGTAAAACACTCATGTTTAATTCTTGTCTGGACATAAAATTATGCTATTACAAAGCAAGATTACTTCCCTAGTGCTGATGCATTAAGGCTGGTACAAGTGCTTAACTTGATAATGCTTATTTCAGCATAGGCTGGGTAATAAGGTACATTATCTGTTAGAAGAGCACTTACATTAATTAGGTTTGTAGAAAGCTGCCTGAGAGAACAAGCAAGTAGCAACAATGAAGTTCACTCCCTCAAAATGGTGAATAACTTGCCTTAATGCACAGCCACATTGCAGAAATTCAGAGGATGGTAAAGGAAGGAGGCAGGAGGAGACAGAAGTGTAAAATGCCTCCCTAACTCTCATACTTGCCCGTAAGCATCTGACTTTGTAATGCTAGAGCTGGCCCAGTACAGAGGCAACATCACAAAGAGGTGTCTTTGTCGCACACCGAGGATTACAACCCATGCTACCTGGATTATCTAGTGCTTGATAAGATCTGAGATACCATTTCAGCTGATGAATCAACAGTTTCATCATCCTGCTATATTGACTGGACCCTTGACAAACCAACTAAGAAAAAAAGGGTACTATGATCCAGACTGTGGCCACCCCTCTTGTGAGATACACTGGCAAAGCAGCAAGATTTGTATCGTCAAACTTTACCTTAAGTACTGGGTTTTATTTAATGATATTAATTTCCTATGGTGTATTCTGTTTAATTTTGCTTAGAATAAATGGGATATCTGTATGAAATCAGCATTTAAAAACCCCTAAGTATCTAACTTTTTTTAAAAATCTAAGTATCCAAAAAACACCTAAGAATCCAAACTCAGACAGCCTCTCCTTAACCTCCCTAGCCAGGACTTCTCTCTGCTTATCCAAAGCAACTACTTCAGACACAGTTTTGTTCAGTACTTACAGGCAAGCAATTGCTGTGAAAATGAGATAATATACCTCAGACCCTGTAACCACCATTAAATAATTTACTTTTTATGTATCTTTAAGTAGGACAGTAAGTTGGTTTTGAGCAATGTAACTGCTGTAGAAAATTACATCTTGTATTATAAATTAATAATATTTCTCTCGTACTCTGTTTCCCTTAGGAATTATGAGAAGCAGAGGATGCAGGAATATTTGCAAGAGTTGCAAGAAATGGAAGAAAGAGTAAAACAAAGGCCATTGCTTTTTGAAAGAGTCGCTCAGGTTGTCTTGCTTCTGTATTACTACTTAATCTTATCTTCAAATACTGCATAAGATATTTGTAGTCAACCATTTTTATAAGATACCTGAAAAATACTTTTCATATCAGTATTTGTCTCTTTAATCTCTGTTGCCCCATCTCCATATAAATATTACTAATTTTTGTGACTAAGCATTCATGGCATGCTTGCATAGGGAACTGAGATGGCTGTTGTAAACGTGTCATCTGATTCAGTTACAACGTAAGTAACTCTAAACACAACAAAAAATTACAGCAAAAATGTGAGAGGTCTTAAGTTGGGATAGAAGTGATAAGAAAATTCAAGTATTCTTCGCATCTACTGTAACACTTGGATGCCATATATTTTTATCTCTCCATTTCAGTACAACCATGTGCTGGTAGTGTGGTCCCTGACCTGTTTCCAAACCCAGACGGGCAGCAAGTCATAGATCACTGCTTCCCTTGTCCCTTCTGTCTGTGTGTGTTACCTGGTTTGCCATCGCTGCGGGGCAGGAGCATCTGTGTGGATTGGAGGACAAGTCCTCCTCACTCAGATACTACCTGGAGGAACAGAATTTACACCCTCAGAGGCAGAAATACACTTCTATGCCATTTGTTAAATAGCACTGTAAGAAGGTGATTCAATAGTACTTTTTTTAGGGCATTTTTTTCTACACATCCACATCTTCCCTCTCCTCCTTCAACAGCTATATACAGACTATCTATCTCTTCATTAGCCAGTAAGCACAGGAAACAAACCAGATTTAAACTAGTATAGAAAAGGAAAATCTGGTGTAAAGTTTTCAAGTATTGTTTTGCCATTCTTACCTGCAGTGAATAATCATTCAACTTGTCAGATCCAGTTACGAAATGAAACAGAGTACTAATATAAATAAAAGTATCAAAAGACAAGCATTTAATGCATTTAGGTAACATATAACCATTGTGGTTTTCCTACAGAAAAATGCCAGAATAGCTGCAGAAAAGCATTATTCTAACAGACTGAGAGCGCTGGGGATATGCCCAGAGTTTGTTTCAAAGAAAGGACAGACAACTAAATTGCTACAATGCTCCAGTGCTGAAGATTTTAACTCCACTGATGCCAGAGGAAGGTAGAGATTACTGAAGGCTTTTTTTTTTTTGCCACTACATACCTAGTAATTAGTAATTTTTGACATGTAGGTGTGGGTTGTTATTTTGTTTTTTAATTATTTGTAGTATTTCCCAAGTAAATATTTGACTGTGTAGTTAGCTTTACTAATGTTAGCATTAGTATGTACTTTCTATTGTTTTTCCTGAATTAAATGTTACTTCTTAAAACAGAGGCAAGCACTGGATATGTTAAGTAATGCACTTCAAATAAAAATGAGGAAAAACATTTTTCATTTGTTCCTTTCACCAAAAATTCTGGCAGGTTGCTAGTAAGTCACTTCATTCTGCGTTACCTTTACTGAATTTTTAAAATAAGCCTTATAAAAAACACTTTTCAGTATCCATTAGGTGCTATGATTTAAAAGGAATCAGAAATAAAAATTTAAAATATATAAGCAATACTGTTGAGTTACTTTCTAGCATAAAAGGAGACTCTAGTGTCCCCCATTCCCTTTTCCTTCTCCAGCTCCACCCCAGCCAAGTCTACCAGGATTTATTCTAGATTACCTGAAGGTGGTGTAAAACCTGCTGGAAAGCATCTTACGTGAAAATAAAATCATACATGCAACTTCTCTTTTCAGAGTCATCAAGAATAAAGTGAAAGAAAGGGAATCCTTTGAGGAAGCAGCTGACAGCAGTCCTCTATCTGAGCAATCCTGTGAAGAGGAGGAGGCGGCAGAGAAGAGAAAAGGTGTCGAAACCTCCACCCACAACAGCCAGACCAGTGAGCTGGAGGATGAGAAGGAGGCTGGCCTTTATGCTCATCAGCCTTGCCATGCAGGGGAGGCTGGGTCCAGCCCCACGTCTGACCAGCACCGTGAAGATGAGGAGGAGGAGGAAGAAGAGGAAGCAAAGGCAGACCTGTTGCTTGGCCATTCCCAGGAGGAGGAGGATGATCAGTCAAGACCCAGCTCTCGATCTGAGCAGTCCCATGAGAGTGAAGAGGAAGGTCAGTCTGACCCTGAAGCTGAGGGTGCCTTCAGATATGAGGATGAGGAATATGAAAGTGATGACTCGGAAGAGAAACCCAGCGATGATGAAGCTGACTGAAAGGAAGGCAGACAGGATGGCCTGGGGCTCAGGAACCTATTTCACTGCTGGCAGTGAAACAGGCAAAGAAAAACTTGGTGCTTTGCTACTGATACAAAATTCTGTGAATTTAAACCTCTCAGCTTAACAGTCTTTCCAAAGCATAAATTTTGTCTATTTTCCAGTAAGAAAGATCAAGTTACTAATTTCCACCAAGAAAATAATTTAATTTTATATCAATCTTCTTTATTCTACTCTTCTGTGACATTAGTGCATAAAATGAACTGCAACCACTGTTGAATAATAATGTCTTGCATGTTGTGTTGCCAAGTACTAAGGTCTTAACATGTCCAGCTCTTTCTGCTTGCTAGCAAAGCCAGGGAAGATTTTATAGTAGTCTCAAACATTTCGGTACTTCTGGGGTCTCTTCCTGCAGTATCTTCTAGGATGGCAATGAACAGACCAGGGTTTGTTGTGCAAGACCTCTGTTTTTAGCAGAGCGGCTGCTAGGAAGACAACTTGTTGTGCAGTTAGACAATACGGCCAAATTAATCTGTTCAGTTCCTCCCTCCTTGTCCCATGGGGTTTGCCTTCTGCCCACTTAAGTGAGCTGAACTGGCTCGGAGATGGCTCAAATGAGTGCCAGGGCCAGACAAGATTACTACTTTTGGAGGAAACAAGCTGTTATATGAACTCAACTACTTTGTCCAGCTAAAATATTAACAGTATTGCAGTCACTGAAGGCTCTCTCTACAGAGGAGAAAATGCCTAGAATACACTTAGAGCAGCCACTTAAGCTTTCACAGAGACTTTTAACACTTAACAGACAAGTAAGGTAGAAGAGTCAGCAGAATAGTATGTTCCACTGCAGATCCTGTGTTACTAACCAAGCCCCAAAACTGTTCTTTCAACTCTGTTTTGTTTTGAAGACCTCTTCCTGTGATCATGTAAAATCATTCTTGATAACATAATAACAAATGCTGACATTTATCTTCAAATTTCTTTACTGAGACAGTAAACGTACACTGTAAAGAGACTCTTACTGCGTCAGATAAAAATGTAGCCCAGCAACTCTAGGTGCATGCAAGTATGGAAAGAAGTGCTTTAGTACCTTTTCTTACACACTTGCTACTCAGGACCTCAGCTACTATACAAAGAACTTCTTTATATCAGGAGTACCTTCTCCTGCTATTACGAGCTTTCCCACTAGCCTGTCATATGCAACGTTAAGGGAGATAACAAATAAAAGAATGCATCCACATAATGACAGACCACAAACAAGGATTTCAAACAAGCTTTGTCTGGGTGGAGTACAACACAGCATTGCACAGCTGCTCTAAGTTCATTGAATAGTAAAACTACCAGGTTTGCAAAAGTATCTGAAATGATTAACAATAAGGATTTTTATTTTTTTATTATTTTCTTCCACACTGCATGCAAGAGCACTAACTAAATCTTACTATTTTTTCCTCCTGACTTTGAGAAACTATGCAGCAATGTTTGGAAGATTTTTGTCATTATTACTATTATTTATTTTTTAAGTGTAAGCATATCTAATATGAATTTGAAGCTTTTTTTTTAACTTAAATAAAATATCCATTGTCTATATGTATCATACCTGAAAGTATTAATCATTACTTCACAAGGAAAATCAGTTTACAATCTCCAGTAATACTCGACAACCCCACAATACAAACTCAAGGTTGGTTTGCTTGTGCTTGTCAGTATTCTGTAATTCTGAGGAGTTGTACAATGTTATTGAATTCATAGTCACATACTACTGATATTTGACTCTTTAGTAAATCATTTTTTTTTGTCAGGAAGATGATTTTAAAATGTAGATGAAACAGGAAGAAACTAATGGGATGATGGCACCGAAATGAAAATCACTATATTTAAAGAAAAAACCCAATGACCTCAACATGAAAATCCAAATCCAGGTGAAAGGTTTTGGTAAATTACAAAGTTGCAGAGTAGTACCATAGGAAAGGAGAATAGAATATGCAGTACTTTGTCAGAACTCAAAACATTTTGATGCAATTAATGTTGAGGGGAAAAAAAGTAATCTGATTCACAAAAGATTATATAATAGAAGCGTTTTAATGTAAGAAGCTCATTAAAGGAGAAATGATGATCAGTTATGTTTTCAGGGAAGCTACCTAGCAGGAGGGAGATGAATAGAAAAGTTTCTCACAGATTATTGAATATTCTGTCTTTAATATTTTAATCAATGGCAAAAGCACAAATTACAAACATGTTCAAAAATTTGCAAAGAAAATGAGAAAGGTGTATACAAAGAAAGGATTAAAAATACCACATGGGGAGCAGAGGATAACTTTGCATGTAGACTGTAGCATAAATTAAGAATTTAAAAGTGCCAGAATAACATTTCTTTAATGGGAATTCATCACCTGAAGCTGTAAGGAGAGAGCGCCAGATGACTTGTTGAGCAACAGATAGTAAACCGCAAAATGTGATCATAAAAAAAGTGCAATGGAATCAAAGGATGTGCCAGGCACAGTATTTCCAGCAGGATTGGAAAAATGGTACTTTTAAGTCCACAAACACTACAGATCCCATTCTAGGTTTCTAAGTGATTCCTATGGTACTGAATGTGAGCAATGGTTGGAAATTCTGTACTAAACTTCCTGGCTGTGTGTCTGCTCCCATCTGCCACAGGCTCCCACTGAGATACGTTGTAGCCATATCCACCACGCTGGAGAAGGCTGATGTTACAGGCAGTCTGAAGGATCAGCGTTATTGGCTGCAAGGCACTGGCTTGCAAGCGTGTGTGATTTGTAGAGGATACAGATTCTGGAAGTTTAGTGCTCACAGGCGGCGCAGTTGCTATGGAAAGGGTCTAATATCTGGTGAGCCCAGACTGAAAATGGTCATAACGTCATAGGACCTACACTGTACTAAGCCAGCTGCGTTTACTGACGTTTAGACACATCAGAAATTATATGGTTTTAGCAGTAGCAAGTTCCACAGGAAATCTCTGCCAAGTAAACCAAATAGAAGTACAAGGCCCACAGAAAAATAAAAAACTAAGTTACAGCCAGCATCTCCTGTGACCTTTCAGAACCCACACCCATCTAACTTGCACTGAATACACTCCTAAAATGTTAATATTGACCACTTGTACATAAAGCCTATTTATATATAGATAATTATTTACATTTCTATGTTCTGAAGTAAAAAGCCAAAAGTTTTGCATATCATGCTTTTTCTGGGTGCAGTGCAACACTGTGGTATTGTCCTGAGGGAAGTCAATAACAATTTTGAAAGCTAATATAACAGTGCCGCTGAACACTTCTAAAAACAAAGCATCCAGCTTTGAAAAACAGGCTCCAGAAGCATGATACCTGGCTGGACTGCAGGGAGGCCACAGGAGCAAGAAGAGTTGCTACTGTGGACTATTAAACAACATCTTGAGCTTTAGCCAGACAACCACCTCTCTTCAGGGGGTGCTCCTATCTTTCGGTTCGCCTTCCAAACTTCCCTGTGTTTCTCAAGTGTTCTTTTACAATACCACTTTAGAAACCATCTTCTCATGAAAATAATTACCATAACATCGAGCAGGAGGTTACATTCTCTTTTGTTTTCACAGGAAAAAATAATTACATCATTACGTTTTACAGCCGCTCCAAATGCAGGGAATACCAAAAGAATTCAACTTCTTGAAGAAAATGTTTAAAGTCAACAGTATTTTGAAATTATTTAATTAGTCTCATTTAGAATCCTCAGGCTTCTGGAATGACAGAAAGCAAAATATTTACCTGAGCTTAGCAGATAATAGGCACTCTAAAGATCAAAACATATATTAAAAATTATTTCTAAAAGTATGTCTATATAGTTGCCCACAAATTGAAGTCAAACATCAGTTTTGTATGCAGAATCCGTTTGTCCAGGAATACTAACTAGTCCATTATCACAAGATATGGCAGCTGCATGCTTACAAATGTTAACATGCAGATAAAATTAGAAACAGTTTAAGGTCTGTCATCGTCAGCCTTCAGTGGAATTTCAGTCTTGCATCTCTGGTTGTATAATATTTTGAGAATTACTTGGCTTTAGGAAAAAAAAAAAAAACCACAACAGCAAACTCAAAATTGCTTCTTTCTTCAATAGGAATTCCAGGTATCTGAGGAATGCCAGATCAGAACTAAGACTTACAATAGTATCAGAAAAATTCCATCCCTACTGCATACTAAACAACCCTAGCAGCCAGATGAAGCAGCAGAGAAATCAGGGATCACATGAGCAAGGCAAACTGCACAGATACAAAGAAAGTTGTAGGACCTGATGTACTGCTTTAGATACTAGTTTTGTATTAAGAAATAACAGCATTAAGAGGCTTCCACTGTGCTAAATGTGCACAAACACATAGAAATAAATCCCCAGTCAGTCTTAGGGGGCATCTCTGCATACTTCACAGGAAGCACATCATATTTACTCACAGAGTAAATCCTTTCAGACAGCTGAGCATATAAAACAGCTTGCTTGTGCCCAAAGAGCACAAGCTCTGTCCTCCCCTATCCTTTCTTTTCCTCCTTGTTTTTCAGACCCTTCCATTGAGTCAGATTAGATCACAAAAATAGCCCAGCCAAAAGGAGGGGGTAAGGTTCAGAGGTGACAGGGACAAGCAGGATTTCACCCTTTTAGTGCTGGCCAGTTATGATCAGCGTCTCACAGAACTGCATCCCAGGATTAGCCACATGAGAAAATCCCCCATGTGCTTAAGTAGCTGTAGTACAAAGACGACAGATGTTTACATGCAGGAAATATGGTTCTTTTCTGATAATGAGCACCATAAATGAGACCACGTTTAATGTCTTGAGCACAAATGGTACTGTGGAAGCCAGTTGTTAACAGGGTGGAAAACGAGCATATTTGCGTTTGCAGAGCTCAAATCTTGCTACTAATAGTTAGGGCTTACTAACAATAAGCCAATTACTAACAATAGATACACAGGTTAACAATAAGAAGGCTAGCAAGATTAAGCACGTTACTGACTAATA